CTTACATTGATTTGAAGTAGTTACAAATATATTTATATTGACTACCACTATAACTATTTCAAATGGTAAATTGGTTTAAATAAAATACTACATACTTGTATTTGGCTTAACCAACGGGGCGGATTATGTTTAAACAAAATTTAACGGTGGTAAATAGTCTTATTCACCATTCAGCTGTAAATCGGAATTATAATTTTTTATTTTATTATTTCAATACATTTAATCCTAAGTTTTTACTTAAAATGTGTACAATTTAAGTATAATATTTATTGAAGTTATTGTTTTTTAATAAGTAAGAGATGATTCTCATAATTAGAATTTTGTTTTTTATTTTCGAAACTTTTACAATGCTGAAATCTAGGGTTACTGAACACATTAAAGGTTTCGAAAATAAAAACAAAATTCGAATTATGGTAATCATTTATAACCTGGTAGAAAACTATAAGATTATAAATGTTAAGTAGCTATAAAATAAAAAATTAAAATTCTATTTTATCACTAGATTATAAAATAGACTTGAGCAATTCGCCGCTGATTTTAAGCAGTATTTTATATGGTTACTATATATTTGTGAAAGGTTTATTTGATTATTATTTAAAAATGTGTGGACACACAAACATTTTGGATGAATTAAGTACCTTGATTAAAATACCCGAATTGTTTTGTTTAATCGTCTTATTCGTTTCGCATATCATTCAAAAGGGCAAGTTATAAAAAACTAACTAATAATTCGGCTTAATTTGATGTACAAATATCTTCAGAAATTTTACCAGAAATGTATGCCAAAAAAATTTACAAAAACTTAGTGTAATTGTTTTTTACTACACAATTTAATCAGAATGATATGAATCCATGATGTCAGAATGGTATGCGCATGATGGTAGAATGGGAAGACAATTACTTAGTCCGAGTTGGTTAACTTATTGGTATAGAAGGCGTTTAAGAAGATTTTAAACACGTATTAGATTTATGTTTAAATAGATTACACTTTATCAAGTGATTTTCATTTGCTTTTTTTATATTTTCTGTAATATATGTTGATGTGTAATAAGCAAGTTGGTGAGTTAAAAAAAGTGTGTGTTCTACCACCCGTTTACAAAAACTTGATATGATGCACTTATTGTCACCTTCAGACTCGACCTCCAAGTTTTCTTTGTTAATCGATATTACTGGAACAAGAAATCCTATCATCAGCTCCATATCTAACACTGGGTAAGGGCAGCCATCTTACTGGAAAGGCCTTGCGCTTATGCATAAAGCAAAAGTGCGATATTTTAAACTGAAAAATGTTTCTGATTTATTGCAATCACAGCATTGTTTTCAGTGGGTAGGCAATATTAATTTAAATAATCCAATTACTCTTCATATAAATTTTTAAAGCCATACGATAAATAGGTAACTGGGAATATTATTGTTCAATATTCATGGCCTCAGAACATTTTACGGATTGTTTAAGTTTAAGAGGAGGGAATTAAGATTTTTTTGTCGATAAAATTTTCCATTAAATTCAGCGATTGAAATGAAATGGAAAAGTACCAAAAATGTATTTATTTCTACTACAATTTATCTTGAATTATCTAAAGACAGTTTTATTAAAACATTTTATTCTGTTTTACAAGAAATAATAAAATAATTCATAATTCAACATTTCTAACTGATAGGTACTTATTGTGCTTTAAAATCTATAAAAATCACTAAAAGGAAAACATGTAAATTTTACAAGAGTTTATCAGTTCTACTTTACAATAATATGAAGGCTTACAATAAAATCGGATACATTTAATTTATTTAAAAAATGGGTATTTAATATTACTATATTTATTGCAAATTTTATTTTACTTATTGGACACATGACGAATATTAGTTATGATAAAGCACCACTGCATAGATATAGTATCTTACACTAGAATAGTTTGTTTAAAAATTAAAAAATAAGTTACTTACCGTAAATTATTAATAAGACAAACAATTAAGTACCTAATGGTCATTCGGTGTATAAAAGAGAGGCCGCCCGAAAGTTTCCTAAATACAAGTTTATCACATGAAATCTTTTCGAAAGCACCACTAATACAAGATGATCACTGACTTAATTTACATAATATAATTTAATAATTTATTTATTTAATACTTGCTCATTGCACTCGCCTCTTCGATCATTTCCAATCTCACTTTATCGTCAAAATTGTTTTTGGTCACTTCAGCATCATCCGAGTCTTTATTATTACTATCGGTATATTCATCGTTATTATTACTAACTAAAGTAATCTGAAGTTGAGGAACTGTAAGTGGTCTTATCAGAGATTTTACGACTGGGGGAATTTTAGGGGCTGTTGGTAGAACTGGCGTGCTTGCACAGAGGGCTGCTGACGTCAACTGCGTTATCAGCCTTTGGCTCGTAACCGAAGTATTGGAAGACGTTCTAAACACTTTTCGGAGCTTATGTCTCAAGCCTGCAAAAACTTTAATTTAATTATAAAAGTCTGTTAGAAAAAACAACTAATTTTCTATACTACTTATATATTTAAACAAAATTATTATTCAAAAAATATATCTATAAGTATGATACAATAAACCTTTCACGTACATATATTTTTACAATAACAATTTAAATCTATGTGCCCCTGTTTAGCAAAAATGACACAGTTAATCCGTATACTTCGTTTACTTTCTGTAGCGATGTGACCTTCAGTTTGACCGGTGCAAAATAGAAAAGAACAGCACTAGGCCAGAAAAG